GGCTGTTCAAGCTCACCAGCTGCTCCTTGGAAACTCTATACAGGGTTGGTAGGAATTGGAACTGACTTGATGGCACTTAACAACAACAACAAAATGGAGTTTTGGTGTGGCACTGTAGGATAAGTACTGGACTGCTGACTGAAAGGTTGGTTTAAACCCATCAGTCACTCCTCAGAAACCCTGTTTAGGATCACTATGGGTCGGATCTGACTTAAGAGAACTTAACAACATGGGAAAATCAACAACTCTATTTTGATTTTACCAAGATTGAGATGTTAAATGGTTTCTCTCTCGCTTTCTGCCTGTGTGATAAGGAGTGTTGATATTTATTAGATTAAATATTTTTACTAGATGATAAGTATTGCAGTTTGCCTTTTATAAAATGTTACTTTATTTAGTTCTCATAAAAACACTGAAAGCTTCTATATCACCATTAAAAAAAAAAGTAATAAAATGCAATGCAGAAAGGTAAAATAATGTTTCCAAGTTCACTCAAGTAATAGGCTATCGAGCTGAAATTTGAACCCAGGTCTAACTCCAAAGACTGGTTTTTCCCGTCTACTCAACTGCTTCCAAGATTTGCTGTGCTTTATCTACAAACTCTCAGTCAAGTCTCCTTTTTCATTAGCAGTATTTCAAGATTACAGCCAGATAGTGAAGTAGACTTCTCAGTACCAACTTTATGTTTCTTCTTACACTTCTTCTTACCTTTCTTATTGCCTTTCTTCATCCTTCATCTTCGTACTCTCCTTAATTCTTCATCAGACACTGCCTCCCTTACATCCTTCAGAAGACCCAAAATGGCATATTTCCCCTCTTCTCTTTAAACAAGAACTGCAACAACAACAACAACAACAACAATTCTCAGAAAAGCATAAGACATCAATAGTTTGTTATTTCTCAGTGGTATCTAAAGCTTCCTCCTACCCCTACTTATGAACCTAGAAAACACTGTGAATGTTATTTTTGCAAAGGAACTTTGTATGTGACTTTTTACTCAACTTGAGGTAATTCACTAAAATTCCAGAAACAGCAAGATTAGAGGGTTAAGTGACATGTCTTCATTTAAATTTTAAGTTTGCTAATCATAAAACTAGGACTTCTGATGTGGCACTGTAGGATCGGTATTGGACTGCAAACCAGAGGGTGGAGAATTCAAACTCACCAGCTGCTCTTTGGAAACCCTATAAAGGATTGCTATGAATTATGAATCAGAATCGACTTGACTGCATTTAACATGAAGAACAACATATTATAATCTTGGATGAGCTGTTGTTTTTTTTTTTTTCCCCATTAACATACTAGATATTAGTATTTTTTCCCTCTTCCTTTGGTGAATTATCTAATCTTTCACTTGCCTCTATACATTTTTATTGACATGCTTGTTATTTAGTCATTGATTTGTAAGAGCTAATCATTGCATATTAATAAATTTTCTGTTACATTTTTTGAAATACTTGATTTGATCCCAGGCTATCACTAAGACTGAAACCTTCAGTTCAACAGAAACTTTGTCATTTTATGTGTTTAATATTTTTATAGTTTAGATTATCAAACTTCTATTTCTTCATTGTTATATAAGATGTTAACATTAGGGGTCCTTATGAAGAACCTATACACAGACCAAGAGTTAGGTGTTCAAACAGAACAGGGGAATACTGAATGCTTTAAAATCAGGAAAGGTGTGCACCAGGGTTGTATTCTTTCACCATATTTATTCAGTCTGTGTGCTGAGCATAAGATCCAAGAAGCTACATTATATAAAGAAGAACATGGCATTAGGATGGGAAGAAGACTTATTAACAACCTGCAATATGCAGATAATACAACTTTGCTTGTTGAAAGCAAAGAGAACTTAAAACACTTATTGATGAAAATCAAAGACCACACTCTTTTGTATGGATATCACCTCAATGTGAAGCAAACAAAAATCTTCACAGCTGGTCCAATAAGCAACATCAATATAAATGGAGAAAGAGTGAATTTATCTATGACTTCATTTTGTTTGGATCCACAATCAACACTCAGGGAAGCAACCGTTACAAAATTAAACGATATATTATCTGGAGGTACCAAATCCTGGAGAAGGACTTCATGCTTGTTAAATAGAGAGCCAATGAAAAGGAGGAAAACCCCCAAAGGTGGATTGACATAGTGGCAGAAGCAATGAGTGAGTTCAAGCATAAGAACAATTGTGAGGCTGGCACAGGACCAGACATTGTTTCATTCTGTTGTGCATAGGGTAGCTATGAGTCAGAGCACTTAACAACAATAAGGTAAAGATATATGAGTACTGTCTTTGAAATTTTTCTGTAAATCTAGAATTATTCCAAAATAAGAAACTTTAAAAACAAAACAGTGACATGTCTTGTGCATGAATAGTGTTAGCCTGGCTAGGAGCCTGGGAGTAGAAGGAGAGGGCAGGCAGAATGGGAGGCCCTATTGTGGGTACAAGGAAGAAGTAGTTAGTGTATTCTGCTGTATCTTCCCTTCTGGAATCAAGGATGGCAACAGTCTGGGCAAGCCTTTAATGCCAGGTGTCATCCTTGAGGGAGCAATACCTTCTACAAGTTGGTGGGCCCTGGCATTGAAGTGGACAGATAACAGGATGCAGATAGAGTAAGGAAAATGAAAGAGAGTAGGAAAAGTGAAGGAGAGATGCATTTGTCTGACCTGAACTCCTAGCAGCTTCAATGGCTCCTTTATATGTTAGTTTTGAAATTTATTTAGAGAACCTTAAAATCCCTGCTGCTTGCTTCAGTTTAGAATTGGTGGTAAAGAACAAAGGGTCATAGATTTGGAGATGGAATGAGAGAATTTTCATCTCTTGGGGTTGGGTGAATAAGCCCTTGTTGATTGAGATCCAGGCTTAGCCCAAACTATTGGGAACCCACAATGCCTCTCTTCTAGGTGTCTATAGTGCATTTGGGGAACCATACATGCAAGTATAAATGAGTGTGTAATCTAATGAGCACATACAACAAATTATAAAAAGGAATGATAAGTTTTGACTGTGAGTTTACAGATGGTTTCACAGAACTAAGCTTTGAAGGTAAGTTTGGTGATGTGTAAATGTAGGTGGAGTGCTTGGTCCAGGGTGGGAGTGGCGGGGAGGAGCCTGAGTTAGGAAGAGACTGCAAAGGCACACAGAAAAGGCACAGGGCCTGAATGTGGACTGGCTGGTGGACTAGAGTGGCCTATTGGAACAAAATATACAGTGTATTGAGTGATAAACCCCAAACCAAACCTATTGCTGTCAAGTCAGTTCTAACTCGTAAAAACCTACAGAACTAGTAAGAACTACCCCATAGGGTTTCCTAGACCGTAATCTTTATGAAAGCAGAATGCCACATCTTTCTTCTGTGGAGGGGCTGATGGATTTAGACCACCAATCTTTTGGCTAGCTTTAGCCAATGAAATCTAAATAAGGCTGACAAAATTAAGTGGGGAGAGGAGATTTACACATTGTTCTGTAGACTGTGGAGAAACATCAAACATTTTTGAGTGGCAGAGTTGCGTGATTAGAGCTATGCTAACTGTGACAGTGAGATGTGGCAAAGACTAGAGAGAAGAGAGAAACTGACAAGGAATCCCTTGAGAGACTATTATAGCTGTCAAGGTGAGGGGTAATGAAAATTTGAACTAGGACAGAGAAAGAATATAAGATGTGGACAGAGGCCTCCCCCCAAACTGGTTATGATTAATTGGCTATGACGGAGTTGTGAAAACAACTCAAAGCTTTTCAGTGTGGTAGAGAACAAACATGGACAGAGGAGCAATTGTTCAGAAAGAAGGTAATGAATTGGGAAGGATATAAATATTGGAGTGAGCTTGGGATTGTGTATGGGACCGCGACTACGGCACTTAGCACAGGTGTGATTGACATTAATTCATAAATACAAATTCCCTCAATTTGTTTTTCTGTGTACTCTTAAGCAATAAGATCATCAGGACTGGAGACTTGCTAACATGTGACAGGTCTCAGAAATTTTTCCACTTGCGTATCCTGACCCCAACAGACTCGAGTCTGAAGTTGTAATGATGTCACAGCTTCATACTTCAGTCCATTTGGGTCCATTGGCTTAAACTCTCAGGATTCACAGAAAAAATAGAAAGGAATCAGGAAATACGAAGTAGTTGTTTTCACTTGTTTGCTAGGGCCACTGGACTTAAATCTCATGGTCTATTGTTAGAAGCCACCTCATTTGTTTTTGAGGTCTCAAAATTTGGCCAAGTAAATTACCTGGGGTATAATAGATTATCAGTATATCTATTGAATGTATCATTAGCTAAATACTTAGCATGAACTATAAAGCTCTTCGATTAGTACCTTGGAGTCCCTGGTGGTAGAAATGGTTAACACACTTGGCTGTTAACTGAAAGATTCAAAGTTCAAAGCCTCACAGTGGTGCCTCAGAAGGACTTTGTGGTCTACTTTTGAAAAAGCAGCCATCGAAAACCCTATGGAACATAGTTCTATTCTGACACACATAGGGTCACCGTTAGTTGGTTGACTCTTAAGCAGTTGGTTGATTCTTGGTATCTTTATTTATCACAGTATCCTCTTTATACTCTGTGCTTTTTCACTGGAAACTTTTCCTCCATTTGGAATATAAACACCACTTCTCAATGCACCTGTTAGAATCCTAGCCACTTGTTGGAATCCCCTTACTGTCTCTGAATCCTTCCTGTTGCTAAGTGCTGTCAAGTTGCTTCTGACTCATAGCGACCCTGTATAGGATTTCCAAAGAGCGGCTAGAGAGTTTGAACCATTGACCTTGTGGTTCAAACTGACCTTGTGGTCCATTGCCTTACCAGGACTCCCGAACCCTACAATACCACACTAGGACTCCCGAATCCCTCACCTTCCCTATATGCTCTATTGGCAAACCTCCCCATCTTCTTTTACTTATGATTTGGAGGTGGTACTATGCATAACACTAGTATTTAAAAAGTGTTCATTTGAACTGAATTATAAGGCTTATTTTTACTTTTTGCAGATCAAACCGGTGGTACATTGTGAAATAAATGTGCCTTCCAGGTGGCAAACATCTAATCGTATATCCCGACACATAAAGTGAGTATAATATTATTTAAACTAAAGATTGCCATTACTTCTTGCTTTAGTTTCTTGTTATTAAATGCAGTTGAGTTGATTCTGACTAGTAGCAACAGAGCTAAATACTGCCCAGCCCTGTCCCAGTCTCACATTTGTTGTATCTTGACCCACTGTTACAGCTTCTTTTGTCAATACATCTCTTTGAAGGTCTTCCTCTTTTTTACTGACCTTCTACTCTAGAAAGCATGATGGCCTTAGTGCCTTCATGCTACTGTAACAGAAATACAAATGGGTGGTTTTAACAAATTTATTTTCTCAAAGTTTGTTGTTGTTAAGTACCATTGAGTCAGTTTCAACTTGTAGACATCCTGTATAGGGTGTCTGAGGAGTGACTGGGAGCTTGAACTGCTAACCTTGCAGTCCAGAGAATTAACCCACAACACCACACCAGGACTCTCGAAGTTAAGGAGACTGGAAGTCCTAATGCTGGTTGCTGGCTCTGGGAGAAGATTTTCTCTTTTACTCTGTCAGCTCTGGGACAGAGTAAAAGAGTCTCTTCAGTCTCTGTTCCTCAGTTCATTGTGACCTGCATCTTCCCCTTCATTTATGCTTAATCTGCTTTTCATATATCCCAAAGATGGTTGGTTTAAGACACACTTGAAAGGAAAAGTGAATCAATTCTCAAATGGGGTTTCATTTACAGGTATAGGAGTTAGAATGTGCAATACATATTTTTCTCTAATCTGTCAGAACTCTCCTGCTGTCCCCCCTCTTCTACCTCATTTTCTCTCTGTCTCTCTGAAAATTTAATTCTTTCATGATTGCCTTCTCTATGTCTTTCAAGTGCTGTGTGTTCTTTCTTCTTTTGAACCTTGATTTTGGGCAAGCAATCCAGTTACCATGCAATGTTCATAGAACAGTTTATGTGGGGTGGGAAAGTAAGAACATCATATACACAATTTAGTCTTGTACACTAAAATTGTGTCATTAAAAAGATTTTAAATCTAGAATTTACAGCTTCTGGATATTGAAAGAAAATTTAAGTAATTTTTCCACAAATTTAAGCTATTTTATTACCATAAGGCCCTTTAGGATAAAAGTACATTATAGTCAAGCCCTGCCTTAGAAACGGAATGAGTCAGACCCTTGATTCCCTGCTGTCCAGGGAAGTGATTGCTAGCTTAAGCATATCTGTATTCAGTAAAATATATTTAGATGAGTTGAGACCACTTTGTTTATTTTTTTCTGAGACTACTCTGAGGGTCAATTTGCCTTCTGTTGTTTGTTGTTGTTACTATGTACCATTGTCACTTCTGACTCATAGCGACCCTATATAGGTTTTTTGAGGAAGGGCTGGTGAGTTTGAACCACCAACCTGTGGTTAACAGTATAACACTTATCCTACAGAGCCTCACCAGGAGTGGTTGAAAAACCACTTATTTGATTTAAACAACACATTGCATTAAATCCTGGATTTTCATCTGATCATTAGTAAAATAGTATTTAATTTCCTCATTTGTAAAATTGTTGTTTTTAAGTGCCATAGAATTGGTTCCAACTCATAGCGACCCAGTATAGGGTTTCAGAGGAGAAGCTGGTGGGTTTGGACCATTGACCCTGTGGTTCAAACCAACCTTGTGGTCCAGCGCAAATAGGATTTACAATACAATATCCACATTGAAAGATTATGGAGAAGATTAACTTTAATAGTATAAAATATGAGCCTTGTACAGTGCCTGTGATACAGCAGGAATACACTAATGGTGGTTTATCCCCATTTCCTTCATTTAGTGATATACTTTATCATTTTATAATTAAAACCCCTAATGTTGGAGTTTGATCATATGCTACCTCTTGAAACAATTGAACATTAACCATTTCCTTTTGGTACGGTGACTCTGTGTAATCCTTCCATCTTCTCTTGATGCTTTCTGCATCATTCAGTAAATTTCCCAGAGAATCTTTCAATAACAAAAGTCGAGGATTGAATTTTTTCCTCAGTTACCCCAGCTTGAGAAATGCTGAGCATGGTCTTCCTTTTTGGTTTTCTGATTCCAGATCTTTGTATATTTTGTTGTAATATTTGGCTTTATCTTCTCGAGCTGATCTTTGAAAT